GAACTGCTATCAGTAGGTTATGAATATCAGAAAATTGTGTTCATTGTGAAACGTGAAAGAGTATTAGAAGAGTCCCCTATAAACTTGCTTCTTTTTTAAAAATCAAGTGTGAAGTACTGAAAATAAAGTTTTGGTAACAGATGGAAAAAAAATTGTTATACATTATTATCTAGATTTGGATTGGATGTAAAATGGTTACCAAAATTTTGCTAATATCCTCTATGTTCTAGTGATGAACCATTACTAATTATTTTGCATCTGGTAAATCCATGTGACCCAATTATTAACTAATTAGGAAGCACCACTTTGAATTATTTTTAATCTTGTAACTAATTTGTGTGCCCAAATTATTACCCAATCAGAATCACTGTCTTCTTCACTTACAGTAATTAAACCTAACTGTAAATATATAAGCAGTCAACATCTTTAGTTCTGAGAGTATGTATTATTTTCGCTTTCAGCCTAGACTAGGGGAATTTGACAATTAATATAAAAAAAATATTATTTTTCCCAGCTTATCACATTACAATCTCAAACCTTTGGTTCTATGTTACATAACTAATTTAAACATAGCTCAAGTAATAATTAAGTTTCCAATTCCTTAGTCACATGCTTCTAGATTACTATTGTTATAGATTCTCGAGTGATTCCTTTTTTAGATTAAATTCTGTTAGCCTCAGTTATTGTATATCACCTGACAATACCAGATAAACTTGGCAAAACATTGTGAATAAAATAAATAAAAATTTTACTATGTTCAACTGAAAACAAACTTGTGTAGATTCATAAATGTTTTTAATTGTGATTTGATTCATAATTCTTTCACTTGTTTCGTTGATCTGGATCAAAAGGCAGAGACCAAGACCTCTACTGTGGCCAGTCAACTACAGAATATGTTTGCTGGAGCTAGTTTTTAGTTTTGGAAGCCTGCCATGTTTATGTTCAAAAGAAATAGCACACAGTAAACTGACTGTTGGCAGAACCCCAAAAAGATGATCCGGATAAACAAATGTAATTCCTCCATACATTTTTGTTCCTAGATTAATTCTGAGTCTATCAATAGTACTAACTACTATAAATCTTGTTTTCTCGGGACAGTTTAATGTTTATGATTTTAGAATAATGCTTTGGGTATTGAATCACCTACCTTTATGGAGAGGATGAATTGTTATTGATGTACTAAGGCGTCCACCTCCTAAGCTCACAAGATGAGGTTGATCTGTTTGAAACTTCACAGATTTCCCCATTTCCAGAACCTCTACACTATCCTATAATAATCCAAACAATTCTCTAAGTACTCTATTTTAAATACTAAAAAACAAAGACGTATCTCAGAATATATTATTATTAATATCAGAAGTAATTTAATGGTCTATTTTGACCAAGCTAGATACATGACAAAAAATATTAATTTAAAGTTTCAATGTATAAAATGCAACTTCTTATGACAACACGTTAAAATATTACAGTACCAAACACTTGTCTGCTATTATATAAAATACAAAATTACATTTTCAAGGTGATTTGTTCAAAATAAGGCTTCTCAATCAACCATTCTTTTTTATAATAAATTGTTAAATTTACAGTCACAATGGTAAATATGTTAAGCTGAATATTAAGATTAGAGGTAGAAGTATCCCATCCAAGTTCTTAATTTTGACAACAGATGGTACTAACAACTGTGAACATTACATGTACACCACACCCCTTGAGTGATTTGTTCAATACTTTCAGCTGGTTGTAAGGAGGTTTGGACTTTAATACTCAAAATGCCCTTTGGTTTCAAACCTTTACTAGCATACAAATCATGATGTATTAGCTGATACTAGTATTTTATCAAGACTTGAAATTTGATAGATATTATATGTACATGTATAACTAAACTGGCATAAATTTAAACAAAATAAAATCTGTATATCAATAAGATTATATCAATGTAGAAACAAAATTCCCCTCAATTCAAGTTTATAGAGTTAAGTACATTTCTATGTCTACAGACACATAAAAAAAGTTATTAATCATTTCGAGCTACTGTTGGCATATACTCCATTAAATCAGCAACTTGAGAAGCACATTTACCATTTTAAAACAAATACCATTACTTGTATAAATGTTATTTTTATATTTTCTTTTTAACTCAGGTTTAGACATGCATAATATAAGTTGGTGATTGAAATTTTTTTTCAAAACATGATTAACATGTACATCCAGATACATCCATTTCACAAATATTGAGGAATATGATTAACATGCACATCCAGATACATCCATTTCACAAATACTGAGGAACATGATTAAGTGAAATGGATGTATCTAGATGTGCATGTTAATCATGTTCTGCAATATTTGTGAAATGGATGTATCTAGATGTGCATGTTAATCATGTTTCTCAATATTTGTGAAATGGATGTATCTGGATGTGCATGTTAATCATATTCCTCAATATTTGTGAAATGGATGTACATAAGATACATCCATTTCACAAATATTGAGAAACATGATTAACATGCACATCCAGATACATCCATTTCACAAATAATGAGGAACATGATTTAACATGCACATCTAGATACATCCATTTCATAAGTTGCAGTAAGAATGCATTCAGAGTTAACTTAAAAACACTGTATTAAATATTTAAAAATTTTCTTATTTAGAATATTTAATTTTGTTTAACAGAAAAGTTTCAGAAATTAAACAATAGGATTACCTTAGCAAAGGGAGGCTGTGTATTCTCAACATCAAAAGACGAATCGACTCTTGATTTTTCTACCAAATCCATTTTTGTCTCACTTTAGGAGGATCACTGAACAAAATCATAACAGATAGTTTAGTTTTAGCTGACACTCAGCTTGAAAGACATAAAATAAAAAATATTATACTTAAAAATCAAAGTAGAACTTCTGTACTAATGAGTTATAAAAACACAAAAGTTTAAGAAACAAGGAAATTACACAACAGTTAATTTTCTGAGATTAGCAATGAAAATTAACCAAACTCAGGGCCCAGAAGTAATTCTGTCACAGTTTAAGAATCGGTTTCCATGGAGCCTACTAATTTACTACAGCTATAACTTTGAATATTCAAGTAAGTATTTATAAAGTTAAATTTATAAAAATCACACATGATGCTAATTGTCTTAACAATTACAGAAATAAATTATATGAATGAAGAGGACCCTCTGTCAAATTTTAAACAACCCTCTACTTTCCCTCGATCCAAAGAATATAAGTTCAAGTGAATAATTCTGGCTTATAAACTCATGCCTTTCAAGAGTTAATTTATTAAATCAATTCATTAGACTATTTCGGAATCTTTTTCAGTAAATCAATAACCATATTATATCAGGGAAACAAAAACAAATACTATAAAACACACACGGCAATATTTTAAGCTCATTTTTATTATGAAAAATTTGATTTACAGTTTGATTTACTTCTAATGTTTTTCCAGTTAGGATAAATCATAAATTTGTATCTGTCTACCTATTTACCACAATATGTACCAATTAGTAACAGTTACCAGCACAGTCAAAAAAGGGCAATATACAATGATTTAAAACCTATAGTAAACAAGCATAAGTGAAAATATAAAATTTATTATGAACAGCCCACACTTTGAACATGTGCAAATTTCCTTATTTGCATCAGCTGTACTTATTCTGGTCTATGATAATAATAACTCCAAACATAACTTCCTACTCGGACATTACACTAATTCTTACGATGGAACAAGCAACAAACTTATTTTTTGTAGCAAATTAAGGAATAATTTTCTTAGTAATATTTAAACACTACATTACTCTTAATATGGAACCAAATATTAACTACTTGTAATGGTACTCTAACTCGTTCGATTTTGTTGTATTTAAACTAGAATATACAGGTTAGTTATATTATTATTTTTATATTTAAAAAATCCACTAAATAAAGACGAAACTAGTTTTATTTCATTCTTTTGACGTTAAAGAGTTCCACTATTTTAAAGTTTAACAAGTTATTGATGATGCATATAAGAAAACTGAAGCTTACCTTCAACACTTTGATTGTCTTAACATACACAACGATTTACAAAAACATTGAAATTTAAATCATACTTCATGGATGTAACAAACGTAATTAGTACTACCACTGTACCAGCACAACTACTACATGTAATATTCAAATTAATATTAATTATTATTACATTTTCTTGTAACGTTACCATAATTTTTCATACAAAAACAAGATTGTCTCCTCTAAAATAAATATACTAAAAGCTTGTTTACTAAGAAACTCATAAATTTACGTTGTCATGTTATTCATTATTGCTAGTTTGCCACCTTGAAAAGTCAGTGTAGACAGCGACATCTGCTACATGATATTTTATTGTCTGATGTATTAAATTAAAATTATTTTCTCACTAGGCCTATAGTATTTTACTCACAATAACATTATTTCCTTAACTTTTACAACAGAAAACGTTAACAATCAAATAACAATGAGCAAAATATTCCAAAATCAATAACCCTATATTTGAATAACGTAAGTTTTATTTTAATTTCCTAAAATTTGACTTTGCTATACGTAGCACAAGTCATGCATATATTCTTTATCTTCTTCACTCAAATTACACATTTAAATGAGGAAAGAAAAAAAATCAAAATTCTCGGTAAGTAATAATAAATAAATAACACATTTACAATGGAATACAAATCTTATTTTTCTAATTTACTACAAACATGTCAATTTTGTTGTCACAAAAGACGACCTACACCCAGAGCATGTACTATCAGTATAAAAGATCTATTAAATATTTCAATATAATCATAAGTTATCTAAATCGTTCCAATGTTTGCTTTTGGGCAGAATTCGAGTATGAAAAAACATACTGTATATTTTAGTATTTACATTTTTTTTTCCATTATCAGTTGGTTGAGGTAGTAGCACCACAACAAATTGTCAAAATATTAAGTTTGTTTCATGCACCATAAAACTTAAAAGATGTCTTGTACGTTCACAAATAAAGATACCATTTCATCTGCTAAGAAACCCAGTTTTTTTGTGTGTATTTTTCCTGGCAATTCTACGCTCGACTACTGAATTAAATCTCAACATATTTATAGTAGGTAAATACCGTGTAAATTGATCTAAAATAAAGTTAAAATTTACATAACGAATGAACATCAAATTTCACGTTTTTTTTAACTGAAGAGGACACGTGAAAATGTTGCAGTTTGTATTCATGTAAGTTCGTTGTTTTGTTGCTGTGGGTTTAAGCTTTATTTCAAACCTTAACATGTTTTTATATACTTTAAAGCTACAGATGTTGCTCGTTTGTTTGCACAATGGGCTATCTGTGCTCTGCCCACCACGGGTATCGAAATCCGGTTTCTAGCGTCCGCAAACGTACGCTGTGCCACTGGAGGGCACAGATGTTGCGTATTGCATCAACTTCCTTTATATGTCCCACAATGTAGTCGTTACTCGTTGCTTGGTAAAGGCACTTGGGCCTGAATTTACCAGAACATAATGTTTCTATCGAGAGAGTGTGTGATACATTATAGTAAATGCCGTTTTAAGACCTAATATAATTCCTTTCCCGACACCATACTTTACGACATCACGCCATTAGAACACCTTAACTAGGCTAGCCTTAGTTTATATATATAATATATTAAGTGCTGTGGACTGTTGAGTAGGCCACTTTTAACTCAAAGCTAAGTACCAACCATTATCAATGTTCTGCACTACACACTGATAGCATATCACCAACTTAAAACTGTGTACTCTGAGTTTTTGGTATCGCTGAATCCCGAACAAATTGAGAACACGAGTTGCGCCATCACACGGTTTCAGCAAGAAACTATTCTTGATAAGTTACAATAAAAGACCGAAATGAATGTTCAAGTTAAAGATATGTATGCAAAGGTACAGTAGTAAAAACCGTGTTTCTTTTTACAGTTATTCGTAGTTTTGATGCTACCCGAGATGTCGCTGAAAGCTATAAGCTCCCTCTGGTTGCGAATATCGTAGTCCTTAATATACGTGTACAGCCAGTATGTAAAACACGTTCATTCTTGGGTTGTTAAAACTGTATTACCACGATCGAAACCGTCGCGACAAGGAAAACTTGAAGGTACGAACCCGCGACCCGCAGATTGCGAGTCGAGCTGAGAAGGAACGCGAAGAAAAACATGAAAGGGAAGGTAAATCGGAAAGCAGTTTTCTTCCTACGTGCAAAATTTGATTATCAATCAGCCTACACTTTTTTATTGTACAATGATTTACACACAGAGACTGAGGTGGCGTAAAGTTTAAAACTAGCAAATCAACTCAACAAACGCTACTTTGTACCATAAGGCTACATTGACCAAAAACAATCTATGGTAATAAACTTTTGTAGATCCTTTTACAATTTCTTGTGATTGTGCTATACTTGCGCTTCGCTTTCCACTTGACTTTATTAAGGTTGTACTTATTTATATAATAAATTGTCCCACACCAATTTACACATAACAGATTTCTGTTTATTATTATAATCAATAACTCATAGATTTAGAACTACGTTTGTTTCTTACAAGCAAAATATTACTTCGCGTATATCGATATATTCATTCTCTCACATTTCCCGGTCTCTCTCCTTCTGCTAAACTCCTTTAATACTTCGTTCTCGAAAACAACCGTTTCCTTTATATCGGATTACAACGTTTCATAATCATAAGGGTTCCTGTAACTTCTAAATCTGACTGAACTTAGAAAGGCGGCCGCTCCCTCCAGTAATTTTCTAACCACTTACAGTGCTATAATCTCATAATCTCTTAGGGACTAGCCCAAAGCCGGCAGCTTTCTCACCTCTTTTAAACCTCAATCGATGTTATTTACATCTAACTTCATAACATAACATTTCAACCATAAAGAAAAATAAAGCCAACCTTAAAATGTATATATATGAGGATGATAAAATATACCACAATACATTTACAGACCTTTCTTTTACTAAATATTCATTATATTTACAATCAGAGACTCGCAAACATTTGTGGTCAAATTAGTATCTTTACTGCAACAGTACTTCTATAAATACAAGATTTCTAGAATACAAAAGAATTATTATCGCAGACACCTGTAAGCCCACTTGTCTTTGGCCTAACATTAGTTAAGCCTTTATTAAGTATGGCCTATATTCGATAAAGATAATTTAACACTGTAACTTGTGTAATTTTTTCTTTAGCTTAGTTAGGCTAAACTTTACCATACATAATACTATTACATCTGCATAATATTCGTTTCTACATATTAATAAGGAACACGAAATGTTAATAGTTAATTAGAATACAGAAAAGATAAAAACTGTATACGATGTTGCACATAGTAAACACTTTATAAAATTTTGCACTCTAACAATATTTATACTTTACTCAAAAAGAGAAATCAGATACCGCAGTTGCAATAAGGTTGTTCATCTAGGTTTACCAATTACTTAATGTTGTTCAGTTAGTTCTACCAATCATATAGTTGTTTAGCTAGGCCTACCAATAATATAAAATTGTTTAGTAAGGCCTACCAATAATATAAAATTGTTCAGCTAAGTCTACCAATCATATAATATTGAAAAAACGATAAAGACCCTATAACCTGAGCGCTTTCGAATGTGCTCGGGTTATAGGGTCTTTATCGTTTTTTTATATTAAGACTTTTTGAACCTACATGTTTTTCTGACATCATGAATCATATATTGTTGTTTAGTTAAATAAATCATCTAATTATGTTCAGTTAGGTCTACCAATCATATTCTGTTGCTTAGCTATTTCTACTAATCATGGTG